ATTATTATTTATCAATAAAATTTTATATGATTTTTAATTAAAAATTATTGTAGTTAGGGGCACGATGTCAACTGTTCTTAGAAGATCCAATTAGACGTCCAGTGGCATATGGGACAGCTTACAGTGGTGGATAGGTTCATGGGGTTGTACTGGATATAAATCATGTGAAGGTGAGCGTAAATGAAGTTAGTGATCCAAATGCACATGTACCAATCCCCACCAGTGAGGTTCAGCTTGTAGGTGATGCAATTCAACACTTTATTGCTTGGCCAAAGAAGCTGGTAGAGTTATGTACTGAATCTGATGCGGTATGTATACTGAAAATATTTCTATTTTAAAATAATAAATAATTTACTTTTTAAAATAATAATTCTTACTTGTATTATAATTCACAGTCAAAAGAAAAGACCAAATTGACTTTTCATTCGGGTGTGCAATCCGTTCATCAACAACTCACTATAACTGATCATGATTCTTTGACTGATGGATGCAAAAAGGCCTTTTCAATAGCTCGCCGTTTTGAATACCCTCTTGTGGTCCATGTGGCTCGTGGTATTATGGGCAACATTGACTATGACTTGCACCTTGCAAGTGATGAGATAATGCGTTTCTTAAAAATGGAGACCATCGATGTTTCTCTAGTTCAGTTCTTTATGAGGTAACAAGTTCTTTAGTATTATTTATTCATAATAGTTTTATATTTATATAGTTAGTAATCTATATATAATTGGTTGTGTTTGTGAATAGGGGTATTTATATTAGTTTTGAGTTGGCATCAAAAGACACGTATGGCTTCCTAGATCCATATTGGATTCAACCACAAATGAATAATATGGAAGACAGGAAATCGTATATAAATTCCACCATGCAGTCTGGGAAGAAAGTGGTATACTTAGCCCCATATGTTCTCAAGTAAGTATTAATTACATTTTAAATAAAAGTACTTATATATAATATATTTTTATTATATATTATTGTTGGGAAAATCCCACTTCCTGTGACAATGAAAATCACAGACCCCGACACGGTCCACAAATACGAGATAACACAATAGCCCAAAGATAAATGACAACGCAATGGACACAAGATTTACGTGGAAACCCCAAAATCACGGGGAAAAACCACGGACCACCACCAACGACAATTTTCCACTATCACAAATCTTGGGTACAAAGTCTCTGGCAACCACCCAAGCCAAACATCCAAAAATCATCAAATACAACAATTCTAGGCCAGAGACTTCTATAATGTTTCACAAGCTAAACATGAATAATATCTCGTACTCAAAATATTCAACCACCACGAGCAAGGTGAAAAGAATAATACAAATATTACGAGATTACTCAAAACGATGCCTGGAACAAACAAGCTGACCTCTTCAAATATTTGATCTAGAAAACACCCAAGAGCTTCAGCAAACCTCACGACAAATCCATCAAACGTGTGACAAAACTCACCGAACACGTTGCCGTCGTGCCGCTAAATGTAGTGGAGAATGTCCTCACAAGACCGGCCAAGGAGACAAAAAGAAGCAAAAAAACTTGGCTTTGTTTCATTGCTCTCTACTGTCATGCACTATTGCCGAATCAATATCATGTGTGTGTAGTAATGTTGGAGAAGAATGCTTTGCTTCTTTTATACTACCAAAATGGGAATGTGAAGGGATAAAGAAAATAAATTCTTTTAACCTTTCACATGCATGCTTTAAAGAGCAAAATAACTCTTCCATCACTCCAACTTCTTATATTCCCTAAAATATTATTATTATATATAATATAATAATAATTAGGGCTCAACGAAAATAAAGTGGATATAAAAAAGGCTTGATCCAAACATGGGCTATTTTCCACATGGGAGGGAAGCCCAACCCAACAAACTCCCCCTCCCGACTATGTGGAGGATATCGCCATCCTAGCGATACAACAACACACCACTGCTCCCCCTGCATAGGTAATCCGATAGGATGAAGTAGATTTCCTGTTATCAATGTTTCATTCCATATCTGAATCAGTGTACCCGGTAACAATATGTTTCCTGTACCAATTGACAAACTCAGACTTGAAGTACCCTGAAGATATCTCAGAACCCACTTCACAGCATCGCAATGTTCTCCCTCTGGATTTGAGAGAAATCTGCAAATAACACCTACTGCATGAGCAATATCCGATCTCGTACATACCATGTCAAATATGCCCAATCAACAACCAAGGGCTCTGATACCACTTTGTTGGGAAAAGCCCACTTCCTGTGACAATGAAAATCACAGACCCCAACACGGTCCACAAATACGAGATAACACAATAGCCCAAAGATAAATGACAACGCAATGGACACAAGATTTACGTGGAAACCCCAAAACCACGGGGAAAAACTACAGACCACCACCAACGACAATTTTCCACTATAACAAATCTTGGGTACAAAGTTTCTGGCTACCACCCGAGCCAAACATCCAAAAATCATCAAATACAACAATTCTAGGCCAGAGACTTCTATAATGTTTCACAAGGTAAACATGAATAATATCTCGTACTCAAAATATTCAACCACCACGAGCAAGGTGAAAAGAATAATACAAATATTACGAGATTACTCAAAACGATGCCTGGAACAAACAAGCTGACCTCTTCAAATATTTGATGAAGAAAACACCCAAGAGCTTCAGCAAACCTCACGACAAATACATCAAACGTGTGACAAAACTCGCCGAACACGTTGCCGTCGTGCCGCTAAATGTAGTGGAGAATGTCCTCACAAGACCGGCCAAGGAGACAAAAAGAAGCAAAAAAACTTGGCTTTGTTTCATTGCTCTCTACTGTCATGCACTACTGCCGAATCAATATCATGTGAGTGTAGTAATGTTGGAGAAGAATTCTTTGCTTCTTTTATACTACCAAAATGGGAATGTGAAGGGATAAAGAAAATAAATTCTTTTAACCTTTCACATGCATGCTTTAAAGAGCAAAATAACTCTTCCATCACTCCAACTTCTTATATTCCCTAAAATATTATTATGATATATAATATAATAATAATTAGGGCTCAACAAAAATAAAGTGGATACAAAAAAGGCTTGATCCAAACATGGGCTATTTTCCACATAGGAGGGAAGCCCAACCCAACAATTATATTCACTTAAAACTAATAAATTATTTATTTGTAGTGAGCATTGGATGTTGATGGCTATTTGTCCTCGACTAAATGAAATTTTTTGGTTTGATTCACTTGGTCATGGGCCGCGTGAAGACATTAAACATATAATGAAAACGTATGTAAATTTATATAATTAATTAGTAGTTATCATTAAACTAGTGATGCCAAGTATTTATATATATTCTATGTCTTATGTTAATAGGTGTATGACTGCAACGAACATGATGAGTGGAAAGAAACAAAATCGTCCACCAAAATGGACTATATGTTCGGTAAGTACTTCATTCACTTTGTAAAACATGCAAACTTATTATTTTTTTATTAATTTATTTTAATTTGAATGTAATTCAATGTAGTGTGCTATACAAAAGGGAACCACCGAATGTCGTTATTATGTGATGAAGTTCATGTTGGAAATTGTTTCCAACAACCTAAGCAAAGGAATGGATAAGGCAAGTAATTTCATAATATATCTTTTTGCTTCAAATGTTTAAAAATACTTGCTTATTTATTAATTTTATTTCTTTTGAACTTTGTAGGCTTTGGAAAGACAAGGAAGATTGCCCTACAACAAAAAAGAGATTGATGAAGTTAGAGACAAATGGTCTAAGTTTCTTATTGATGAATGGCTTAATAAAACGCTTCTTAGTTGATACTTTACGTTTAAAATTAGTTTATGTTTATTGGCTTAATGTTTAGTAGTTTTGTTCAATTGTGATACTTATATTAGTTTTATGTTTAGTAGCTTGAATTAGCTTAATGAATTGTGTTCTTTATATTAGTTTCATGTTTAATAGTTTGATACTTTACGTATAAAATTAGTTTATGTTTATTGGCATAATGTTTAGTAGTTTTGTTGAATTGTGGTACTTATATTAGTTTTATGTTTAGTAGCTTGAATTAGCTTAATGAATTGTGTTCTTTATATTAGTTTCATGTTTAATAGTTTGAATTAGTTTAATAAATTAGTTGATGTTGAATGTTAAATTGCTAGCTGAGCAGGATTTAAAAATTGATACAGTTTGGGTAGAAACCATAAAACGAATATAATAATAAAAAAAATAATAACATACGACGTCGGCTTTTAGGGTAAAGCCGACGTCGTATATTTTTTTTAAAAAAAAAATAATTAACATACGGCGTCGGCTTTTACCTAAAAACCGACGCCGTAGGTTATTTATTTATTTTTTTTAAAAAAAAATATAAACACTATACGACGTCGGCTTTATTCTAAACGCCGACGTCGTATGTTAATTATTTTTTTTAAAAAAGGTAATAAATATATACGGCGTCGGCTTTTACCTAAACGCCGACGTCGTATGTTAATTATTTTTAAAAAAAAAATGTATACGGCATTGGTTTTTATGTAAAAACCGACGCCGTAGGTTAATTATTATTATTTTTTAAATATAAATACTATACGGCGTCGGGTTTACCCTAAAACCCGACGCCGTATGTTACATACGACGTCGGTTGTTTAACCGACGTCGTATCATTTACTTACGACGTCTCTAAAGTCGACGTCGAAAGATAACCGACGTTAAAACCGTTTTCTGTAGTAGTGATTACTATTATTGTTGCTTCTTGTTCGAAGTCTTCCCACTCCTCCCACTCGAAACAATATGAGAAGTGCAATCTCTTCAGCTTTGGAAAAGCAACACCACCTTCTGCTACTCCCAAAAACTCACTCCCTACATATCTTAGCTCTTCCATGCATATGTTAAGAGTCTCCAGAGAAGGCAGTTTGCCTAACGGAGGCAAAGATGAACAATTTACACACCCATACATTTTAAGAAGCCGTAGATGTAATCCAGGAAGGGAAGCGAGTTCCTGCATACGAACTAAGTTGCAAGGTTTGCAGTTCCGGAGGTGGTTTCAGAGCTTCCATCACATTTATTCCCACATCGACGCCCCCACTGAAATCCAAAAACAATTCTTCGATGTACTTCTTGTTTCTCAATTATGCTTTCTTTGCTTCCTCCACATCTGCTGCGTTATTCAGATCGGACAAAACAATAATTGACAGCTCCCCTTTAAGTTGGTTCAGCTTCTCCATGTATCCTAACTTACTAGACTCTTTCCCCACCTTAAACTCACTTAAACTACAAAGCTGAGTTAGCTTTGCGATACCTTGGGGCATCATCTCCAACCTCTTGGTGCTTGTGATGTAAAGGTGTCTCAAGTTTATCAAATTGGCAATCCCTTTGGGTAACTCCTCCAAATTTTTACAAAAATTTAAATTAATGTACCTTAGCTGACGCAACTTTCCAATCCCTTCAGGTAGTTTAGAAAAACGACTACATTCACTAAGATCTAAAGTTTGCAAGTTATATAAAGAACAAACTGCATCTGGTAACTCCTCTACATCGCTCCTACTTAAATCAATGTACCTTAGCTGACACAAATTTCCAATCCCTTCCGGCAACCTAGAAAACCAATTACATCTACTAAGATCTAAAGTTTGCAAGTTATATAAAGAACAAATTGCATCCGGTAACTCCTCTACATCACTCCTACTTAAATCAATGTACCTTAGATGAAGCAAATTTCCTACCTCCTTTGGGAGTTCTTGCAACTCAAACTCGTGCAATCTTAATACTCTCACAGATTTCAGACTATTGAACAAATCAGGAGTAAGTTCTTCGGGAGAAAGGCATTCAGCAAAAATACTGTGAAGTTTTCCAATATCACAATTGGAAGCGGTGAGATTCATATTCCTACCAATTTTCTGCTGGTTAAAACTGTAGCATTCATTTTTGGTAAGAAACTGTGCAAAATCATGCACTATGTCATGCATTTTGCAAGATATGATAATGTTGGAATCCCTGTGATCTTTCTTCAAATCTTGGAAGAAAGAACGCATTGCTAACACTGCTGGAAAACGCGATATATTGGTCGGAAACGAGGTTTCCGTCCAACATACCAACCAAATTGAACGTTCGGAAAAACGCTTGTCGGAAATTTCATCCAACTCCACTTTTTGGTCGGAAATTCCGTCCAACATATAAAAATGGACAGAAATTCCGGACAATAACCCACCATTCTTAAAACGTTAGAATTTTCGTCCAACTACATGTGTTGGTCGAAAATTCCGTCCAACTGCGTGCATTGGACGGAAAACTCACATATTATATTTGGTTATTTTCCTTCCAACTGTTAGTAGGAAAATTATAAATCATATGAAATATTTTTATTATTTTTATATTACCATAATTTTATTTATACATATTGTTAATAAATTATATGTCAATAACGTAACAAATTAATGAACACACTAAATTTCAAATTAAAAATATATTTAAACATCAAAAATATTTACAACAAAAATAGTCATGTTCATAGTACTTCCAACAATAGACTATAAATACCATACAACAAAAATATATACTACTTAAGTATGCTCGATGCACCCAAATAAGCCCTCAAATTCGGCACTTCTTCTATGGCTGTGATCAATGCAGCATCCACAGCCTTCTACTTCAATGACTTTGATCAAGTGTAGATGATGGGTATACCTGCAAATGCAACTAATTTAAGATGATGGCTTTGATCAAATAAACATTTTTCTCATGCATTTCTAAAGTGATTTCTAGCAAAAATGACCTTACTTTCTTGATGGTATAGATGAATGTAAGTTCTGCAAAACTTTCTACACTTCTCCACCACTGTTTCTAGTTAATCACATGTGTTGAGTGTATTAAGACAAATGGAATATCACATAGTCAAATATTCATCTTAATTTCAAAAATAGAACACAAATTCATACCGTGTTCTCGCCAAGAAGAGCTCTGAGAGTTGCTAATGATCAAAAGTCAAGCAGTTGTCCCTAGCTTTCTCAATCCTAGCTCTTGCTGTCTCAATGAATCTCAGTGCTTGAGCAAGAAACACGGCTGTCAAATGATAATCCATAAAGTAAGTTGGAGTGGATTATTCACAATCCATAATCTTGAAGGCATTCTGGGGACAACAATCCAGTAGTAATGTCACTTGTATATAATAAAACCACTTCCAAAAATGTTGGAAAAAAACAAAGTAAATTGCACAATAGTTAACCGCTAAACAGAAGAAACACAAGTAATAACAAATAAAAGTAAATATCAACATGTGAACTAATAACTTAATAAGCTAATAACTTATTCAAAATATTTTCTACTTGGATGGGTATGATGAATATAGGCTTTAGGAATGGCTGTAATAGTTTCTAGTTAGAGACTATAAAAACCATAGATTAAACAGAAAAGACTCTAGGGACTAGTAATGACTATCTCAATCAACAAATATCTTAGAAAAGCTTCTTGTCAAACTTTCTGTACTACTTATCTGCAACCACAATGATAACAATTACTATGACTTCAATGTGGTTTGTAAATGATATCCACATATACAACTCTGCAAATGAGAATATCATCCATCCATCTAAGAAATACTATAAATTCCACAACCAAAAGTAAAATTAATACATTTAATACAGTCCAACATCAGTCAAATTCAAACAAAGCCTAAGAATATCAATCAATTTATTGACCTATTGCAACATATTTCGCTCTTGGTAAAGTAATTTTTCGTTAAAAGTTTAAATTTTTAGATTGTTTAACAGAATAATTTATTATGTGATCAACACTAATTTTAGAGCCATGCTCACATAAGACTTTTCACAAACAGTTGGTGGGCAACCAATCTCAGACTCCATTAATTTAGTACAAGTCAAACATAAATTTCAGTATGCACAATTGGTCACTTTTCTGGAAATTCAGTCCACAATCGCATATGCTCTTGGAGTTCACAAATCTAAAATACTTGTATTTAAAAAAAAATTATAGAGAAAAAAACTATTACCTGTGCAGCTTGCGGTTGCGGAGGCCGGAGAGCAGACGGCCACTCAGAGCGACAGCTTCTGCCTTCAGTAGTTCAGTGCGACGGCTTCGTAGAACAGGGCGATAGACTTCTGCTGCAGAGGCCGGAAAGCAGACGGCGACTCAAGGGTTTAGGACGAGGGTTTCGACCTTCAGTAGTTCAGTGCGAGTGTGCGACAGCTTCGGAGAACAGGCCGACGAACTTCAACTACAGAGGCCGGAGAGCAAACGGCGACTCCAGTGGTGGGAGCGAAGACGACGGGGAGGCTTTCCTGGCAGCGGAGGCGGCTGTGACGGCGTGCGTAGGCGTTTGGTTGTGCGATGGAGCTTAGACTGTAAGCGTGCGAAGGGTTTGGTGACGTTGGTCTAAGTGTGTTTTTTTAAGTGAGCATGAGTAGGGTAACGTCCAAAATTTTGACAAAATGAGCATTCTTACCGCCTAAACACTTAAATATTTCGATTTCCGTCCAACAACAATGTTGGACGGTATATAATAATACCTACCATTTTGTATTTCACCAATTCGTCAATTCAATTTTCCGACCAACGTGCAACGGTAGGACGGAATTTCCGTCCAACATTTAGTGTCGGTCGGAACCTCCGTCCAACGTGCGAATGTTGGACGGAAATTCTATCCAACTTTTCGTCCATCCCTATTTACGACAGAAAGTTGTGATTTTTTACAAATTACCGACCAACATTATTGTTGGACGAAAATAGCGAAATTTCCAGCAGTGTAAACCCCCAAATAACTCCCTGCCTTTTGATTCCATCGTCACATAACTTTGTGCCTTCCAAATTCTGATGAGCTTATCTACCTCTATTTCATAATCATGCACTATGTCATGCATTTTGGGAAAGACAGCACAGTATGAGAAACATTGCTTCATCTTTGGGGTCAAATCATTGTAGCTTAGATGCAAATGAGGGAAGAGGTCTGTTACCACTTCATCCAACTCCCAAATTTTATTGTCTAAAACATTTTGCCAATCATCTCTAGTGTCTTTGAAACATAGCAGGCTTCCCATGACCTTAGCAGCAAGTGGCAGTCCTTTGCACTTTTGAGCAATTTTCTGACCAATATCTTTCAGTGGTCCTGTTTGGTAAAATGGCTGTTAGCTGATAGCTGTTAGTTCTTAGCTGATTGTGTTAATTAGAGGGTATAAATAGTTGATCATATTAGCTGATTGTAGAAAAATGTTTGGTAAATTAGTTGTTAGCTGTTAGCTGTTTGGTATAATTTCTTGGCTCAAGTGCCAAATAGCACCATGAACCAACAACAAAATGTCATCCCGCACCCTAATCTTACATAAGTGATTATTCGATTCACAAACTAAAAAAAATTGTTCACCTAGCCTTTTTTACAGGTAGCCTTCAAGTTAAAGGTAATAAGTTGGTGATGTGGAGGTGATTTGGCATAGATGTGTGTTGTTTTGTAGATGTGGCAGCAATTTGAGAATATGTGGCATCCATTCATCAGTTTAATGTAATATAACATTCATTTCAATCCAACTCCTTTCGGCCAAAATTTCCTGCCAATTGGACTTTAATCCATTTTTTTGGACAAACGGGCTATAAAAATTCACAACCGCATACAGCCCAATACATATCTAATACTTTAGATTTATCAATTTTTGGATCCAAGTATTATACAGTATCTCCATCAATTGGTTCGGTTATGCTGGCTGTTGGGGTAAGACGGAGGTAGAAAGTGGATTATGAATATACCGAAAAGATAAATTAAAAAAAATAAGAGACGCATAAAAATGCAAATCAACGTTTACATCATTCCTCGAGAACTTTGTAAATACAGATTTACAAGCAAATCTAACCACAGATAACCAGAACACGCACAGACTTAAAGTAAAACCAAACACCATAGCAGAAGGACCCTAACAAGATCTAACATCTAACAGATCCAGGGGCAAAACATTAATCACGCAACAATAAAGCTAGATTAGCTCCTCCAGCTATCATCATCGCCTCCCCTAGAGTAGCGGTCACCTCCGCCGTAGCCACCACCTCTATAACTACCTTCCCTGCGGCCACCATAGCCGCCACCCCCGCCACCACCGTAACCACCTTCCCTGCGGCCACCATAACCGCCACCACCGCCTCTGCCCTCATGACGTCCACCACGGAAACCGCCACCGCCGCTGCCGCCACCGCTTCCACGAGAAAATACAAGCAGAAACTAGAGACTACAAGAGAAGACGATGAGAAAAGGAGAGAAGGAAGTTGTGAATAAATAGGCGGATGAATCTTGAGAGACTTGTGGCTTCTAGTTTGCACTGAAATTCGATGGAGAACTGGAAACGGAAATTGGGTCGCCGGAAGTAGTCGTCTACAATAGCTTCTGCGATAGGAGAAGATGAATCCAATATAAATAAGCGAAATTCGTAGAAAATGTTATAATTAGCTTCCAAGTCAGACTTTAACCGGATCCATGTCATCAAAGCAACAGGGAAACCTATTAAAAAGGCTAGGTGGACAATTTTTTTTAGTTTGTGATTCGAATAATCACTTATGTAAGTATAAGGTGCGGAATGACATATAGCAATTGGTTCAAGGTGCTATTTGACACTTCACCCTAATTTCTTTTTTCAAAAAGCTAATTGAAAAAGTTGCTTGGGGTAGCTTTTTCAATTTTAGCCTTTTGGAATTGCAAAAAGCTAATTAACCAAACATTTATATTAATATTTTAACTAAATCAAACAATTAATATAATAGTGATCAAATAAGCCAAAACAATTAATATTAATATAGGCCATTTTTTTACCAAACAGGGCCAGTTTCTCACAATCATTTTCCCTTCTCCCGGAAAATGCTATCCTGCTAAGCAACAACCAAGCTTCCTCGTCAGATATTAGATCCAAGTGATGCAGATACGCACTTCCCATCATTCTAGCAACCCTCTCACTCCTTGAGGTCACCAAGATTCTACTCCCGGGGAGTCCATCCTTGAGAGAGTTCTTCAATGGTTCCCACTTTGCATACTGCTCTGTCCACACATCATCCATCACAAGTAGGAACCTTTTCCCAGACAAAGTGCTTTGGATCTTTTCCAGTAACAGTTGGAGTTGGGACAGATCGGTGGAGCTTTTAGTGGTTGACTCAACAATGGCTTTTGCAATCTTGATCTGGTCAAAGGGGTCGGAAACACAAATCCACACCCTTTCATCAAATTGAGTCTTGATCTTTTCATCCCCAAAGACTAGTTGAGCAAGGGTAGTTTTCCCTATCCCTCCCGTGCCCACTATGGAAATCACAGGGGGGCCATTTCTTGCTTCGTCTTCTCCAGAATTCTCCAGTAACTTGCTTATTAAAGCACTGGCATCAGATTTCCTACCTTGAATCTCAGACGCATCCACATCAAACGCAGTGGTGACTCGCATCAATTCTTGATCAGATTTCCTACCTTGAATCTCAGAGTGTGATGCTGCAGTTGGTTTTTAGCTCATGGGTTTGGTGCTTCAGGATGTTGATCAGCTGTTCCACAACACTGGAGATGAGAGCGTCGGCCATGGTCGTTGACTCTGTAGTAGAAACGTACTTTGAGAGATGGTAAGGTTTGCTAATTAATCTATGCGTTAATCTAAGGAGGCGTGTTGTTTTAATTTTTTTAATTTTTTTTTCTGATTTAAAAATAAATTTATACGTATTAGTATACTATTGACCAAAATATTATACCTTTTAACTGTTATAAATATCATTAAACTCTAAAATTTTTACAATTTTCACTACTTTTTTTTTTTTTTTTTTTTTTTTTAGAAAGGACAATTTTCACTACCTACTCTTTCATTCTCTCTCAGTCGTTTTAAGCCTCCAAATCCTAAAATTTTTATATTGTTCATTGTTTAAGATCTCTATGGTATAGTGGTCCTCCATTTCTATGATTGTGTTAGGTGTGATCCAATAAACAAACATCAACTTTGCTAGTATTGTAATTGGTGGGTTGTAAAAATCGGTCTAGGCGCCTGCCTAGGCGCTAGGCGCCTCTAGACTGTGGCGATTTCCCCCCTAGGCGCCCCCCTAGGTTACCGGCCGCCTAGGCGTCCGCCTAGCGCCTAACTCGGCTGATTTGGCCGCCTAGGCGTCCGCCTAGCCCCTAACTCGGTCGATTTGGCCGCCTAGCGTCTAAGTTAGTCGAGTTAACTCGTCCATTTCGGTCGAGCTAACCCGATCGGCTCGGCCTATTTTTTTATTATATATGTGTGTGTGCGCGCGCAAACATATATATAATATGACATAAATACACTCGTAAACTAGTTTGATACTTTGAATCTTTGGATGATTGAAGTATTTGAGTATTTTTAATTTTTAATATTGTTTTAATGTTTTTTTTTTTAAAACCATTGTTTTGATGTTATGACTTATGAATTATCATTAATTAATTTATTTGGATGTGTTATTTGATTAAATGTTGAAAACAACCTCATTAAAATTGTCAAACTGCAAGTCTACCATTGTTTTTTTGGCGCCCGCCTAGCGCCGCCTAGGCGCTAGGCGCTGTCCGGGCGCCCGACTAGCGCCTAGCGCCTATTGCAACCATGGTCTAGACTAGCTTGTGAGCGAAGGATGAGTGTTTCGGCGGATGGCGCACTACTGGAAATTCTGAAATTTCTGACCACCTGAAAATTATCTTAAATCAAGTCGAAAGTCTTGTTCCGACCACTTTTGATATCCGGAAAAAACCCTTGTTGCTATTTCCGACCACTTTTTGCTTTCAACTTGATTTAAGATCACATTCAGGTGGTCGGAAATTCAATAATTTCCAGTAGTGGCGGCGAATGACAACAAACAATGTTTTTCTTCACCAGAGGCAGTTAGTTTGAGCAAACGGAAGTAGAATAGTGATGATCTTTATTTTATTTTTCCATTAAACATGTTTTGAATATATTTTGTTTCCGTATGATGTTTGAAATTTCGGATGAATGTGGCATGTTTTGTATTTTCTTTGTGTTGAAGAAACAAACATGCCTTTAAGGTAGGGCGTGTTTTTTTTTTTTTTTTTTTTTTTTGGAGTGAATGAAAGAAAAAACATAGAACACAGTACACTTTCTGGGAGGGCATGTTCTATGTTTTTTTCTTTCACAACCATATCACGCCCTTTCATGTTAATTTATTTTATATTAACTTTATTTTATTTTTACAAGGTGAATATGTGTTTTGCTTCGGATCCATGGAGACAAGCAATCTGTGTTTATAAGTAGTAGTGAAAAGTAAAGATACAAGTATTAGTAAATTGTTCATAAATGTTTAAATCTCATAAATTTTTTTATTTTTTATTTACAATTATGACCAACAATCAACGACAATTACATCGTAGACCGATCGTGATATTTTAACATAGGCATCGATCTAGATCTATATGGACGTATCCATATCTTGATGCCCATATTAAAGTGGATGGGCCGGTATGATACCCAAACAATTTCACTAGAGGCGGCCCTTGATCCAAGAATGCTAGAGTATCTACATGTGGCGGGCTAGCTTTTACGGTGTTGCATACCTCACCCATATCAAGCTAGACCATGCACTGATTGACGCGTTGGCTTTCGGAGGTTCACGCGTTTCACATGCTCCTCGGTGAAGTGGGCATAACACTACAAGATGTTGACGTGTTATTTAGGCTTAAGGTGGACAACATAGTTGTTATGGGGCAAGATAAGCATCCTATCATCGAGTGGAAGGCTGTGTGTAAGGATTTGTTGGGAACTTGGGATTTAATCCTCTCAATGATTTCCTTACAACTAGCAAGATATATTCAACGATCGTTCGTTCTGGGGTGCAAGAAATAACCTCAAACAGCGCAAATGTACAGGTGCAAGTGGCTACACGAATACTTATATTTGATTTGTTAGGAGGATTTTATAATTATCTTTGAAACAACTATGAAAGATATGAAGTTATTTCTTTTTACCTTTGATTGCTACTTTCGGAGTATGTGGTCAATGCAATTGGGGATTAGTTGTTTTAGTCTATCTATATAGGGCATTGTGCATAGGGGTTAATCACAATATATACTTCTGTCATGTGCGGATGTCTACTACTACTGCAAATATAGGCATGGGAGAGGTTGCCTAAGGTTAGACCACATGGCTATTTACTCAATAATTGCTTGGTGATTTGCCATATGCAGTGAGTTTAGTTGTATTAAATAATTTTTAAAATTCAAATTTATATTCTCATTGAAGTACTTATATATGATTGTATTTGCAAACTTAGGTGGGTGTATCCGCATACATGGGGTACTGTGCCCACCTACGTAGTTTGGACATATCACGACTAATTGGATCGCGTTGTTGAAAATTAAAAAATGAATTAAAATAAATTTTAACCATAGAATATAATTTCATAAATTAAAATTCATCTTTGAAATTATCTATGGAACAAATTAACACGATTGGAAATCAGCAGATTTCCGACCACTTGAAAGTGGTCGAAAATGGTCTTCATTAGGTGCCAAATTGGGTATTCGGAAAAATCCCTCTCTGTTGGTCCTGAAAGGGTGGTAAAAAGTCTAGAGGGGTGAATAGACTTTTTAAACTTTTTCACAATAAATAACTCTTTGGTAATTTTTACTCTAAATAACAAGTAAATAGAAAAGTATTTAACTTGGAGTACACAGCGGAATAAATATGTATAAAGAGTTATGCCCAATCAATAAATTGAATCACATGCACATGTTAGATATGCTCAGATGATGTGTAAGCATAATACAAATATCTTGAATATTTAAAGGAGATGGTTCACTCAATATTTAACAATATTACTCAAGATTGTGTATGAGACTTCGTGCGAAATCAACCGTATGATAAATGTCACATGCAACACGTCAAACTTGCTTATAATAATTTAAATGTTAAGCATGGAAAGTTTGAGTTACATGCATACGTGAAAACACACTAAACCCAAGTGATTAAGATCAAGCAGTGAATAGTAAACGGGTTAGTCAAATACTTAAATAAATAAAGCAAATTAAGTAAGTGCGGTATGTAAATGAGAGAGGCAATTTATAGTGGTTCGGAAGTGGCATAATCTTCCTAGTCCACTTTACTCCATTCAATTCTAGGAGTAATTCACTATTTTCCACACACAGTTACAATAGTGAATAAGCGCTACACAAGCACTTCTTCGGATGTCTTGCACACAGCTACATCCAACTCCGAGTGCCTCGCACACAGCTACACTCAACTCCGAGTACTTCGCACACAGCTATACTCCAAATGCCAACTAAGTGTTTTGCACACAGCTACACTTAGCAACTACGAGTGTTTTGCACATAGCTACACTCACTAGAGTATTTTGCACACAGCTATACTCTTTTTTACAATTACAAATACAAAGGTACTTGTACCTCTCTCTCCAACTAGTTTTGAGACTATTCAGACTAAGACTCTTTTCTAGCTCAATAAGTATTTAGCACTTGAAAATTTTGAATTCGCACTTGTTCATCCGCTTCTACGTATTGTTGTTGTATCTTCTTCATGGCCTTTTATAGATAATCAAATGTATCCGTTGGAGTGGGATAATTTTTAACTTGCCTGACAAGATAATATTTTATTTCAACTTGATTTTCAAGTTGTTTCTAAAATATTATTATCCTTGCCAATTTTGAATTTCCAACGTCTCTTGGCAATAAATCCTCCTTCATAAATTTTCCACCGTTCTGATCATGTCTTCATGTAATTTGGATTTTTGTGACATGTGAGATGAACCAAAATAAATTCATTCGAATTTATTTAATATTTTGATCAGATCTTCTTGCTTCGTTGACTTTAAAAAGGATTCAATCTTGGGTATGATCGTTATATGTAAAGACTTCTACCATTTTGCCATGAGGCTCATCCAATTATTCTCTGTAACATATTTGTTAAATGCTTGACTTCTGGATGAATACTCGTAGGACCAAAATTAATTCTCCAAATTAATTTTGTTCTTCATGTGGTAGTCTCTCTTTTGCATACTGACTTGACATACTGAATTATGGTGCTTATACTAAAGACCTAATTTTTAAGGGGATTTAAAGTACATTCGGCTCATCAAAACTTTATTACAAAAATATTCCTATCAATTTTCCCCCTTTTTTATGACGGCAAAACCTATACTCAGTCATTTGGCTTGTCTTTTAAAAATAAAATTTTCAAAAGATTTATTAAATTTGACATAGCCATGATGAGTTTAACAATTGATTTTGACTCTAGGAAAAGTATTTTTAGCAAAATTTCCTATTCGCATTTTTGGACTTTAATATTAATCATTTTTGCAATTTTCCCAATTATGCGATTTGATACAAGCTAAGCTAAAAATTTACCTTTCAAGCCAAATTAAAAATAACAATAGACAAAATACTATAAGCATCATAATCAGATAATGAGCAAAAGTATCATAGCAAATTGTTCATGACCATACTTAGAGTTTGTAGATCAAACAAAAACATTGTAACATCTTCATACAAATCACTTGATTATCCTGTTTCTCCTTTCTTCTAGCACATGATTTATATGTTTCTTAACTTCATTGAAATTTTCACTAATAGCATAATCTTTGCATACCTGGCCAATCACATAATAATTGAAGGCTTCAATGATGTTGTCTCCGAGCA